CCTGCTGCAGCCTGTTCTACCCAGCCCTGCCCCACCCCAGAACCAGCCACAGCCTGTTACACCCAGTCCCCAGAGCCCCCCAGAGCAGGCCGCAGCATTATATCATGCCCTGCCACACCCTAGTCTCAGTGTACTCTGCCCGGCCCCTGGCACCCACCCCAGCCTCAGCTGCATGTGCCGTGTGCCTCCCCAGACTCCCATGTGGACGACATGGATGTGGACCTGGACAAAGAGTTCCTGCAGGAACTCAAAGAGCTCAAGGTGCTCGTGGCTGACAAGGACCTGCTGGACCAGCACAAGAGGTGCCAGGGGTTCCCTGGGAGGGGAGCGGGGCTGGGGGGTGAGAGCAGTGGAGACTGGCTGGGAGCCTGTTCCCTGGGAGGGGAGTTGGGAGCTGGAGGGGTGAGAGTGCAGGCCTGGGTTCCCCCCCGGATGCCTGGGTTCCCTGGGAGGGCAGTGGCAGCTGTGGGGTTAGGGTAGGGGGTTCTGCATGTGTGGGACACCTGGGTTCCCTGGGAGCGGAGTTGGGGGCTGGGAGGGGAGGGCAGGTGGTTCTCAGTGCCCCCAGACACCTGGGTCCTCTGCCAGGGGGAGTCTCCCTGACCCTGCTCTGCCCCCAGTCTGGTGTGCACGGTGCTGCGTGGCAAGATTTCTGTGTACAATGAGATGGAGACCAACTTCAAGGTGAGCCAGGCAGGGCTGCCCCCCACCCACTCCAGCCTAGCCAAGCCCCGAGGGGACCTTGTGGCCCTACCTGGCTCTGCAGGTCTGGGGGTGTCCAGCAGGGGGTGCTGCCAGCCCAGCCCTCTCCCTTGCCCTGGTGGCTAAGGTGCCTGGGTTCCCTGAGAGGGGGAGCTGGGAGCGGAGGTTGCGGGGGGCTCTAGCAGTGGGGCGGGCAAGCCTGGACACCTGGGATCGCTTCCTGGTTTGCTCTGGTGTTCTGGAGCTGGGGCTTCCCCAGGTCCCTTGGCCGGAGGCGGGAGGGGCCTGTGTGCTATCTGACCCCCCCCCCCC